CCTGGAGAGGGGGAGGGCGCCCTGATGTGGAGCGAGAAGTGGGCCCTCCGGCTCCCGGCTCTGCGCTGAGCCACTGATGCTGCTTTGAAGTGCTTGTCTACCCCCTAGGGAGCCATGTGTCTGATGGGAGCGGGGAGGGCTGGCTACCCCCTGGGGAGCCGTGTGTCTGGCGGGGAGCGGGGAGGGCTGGCGACCACCCAGGGAGCTGCGCTTCTAACTCCTGGGGAGCTGCTGGGAGGGCGGCGCGGGCGGCTGTCCGGTGCCCGTGGGCAGCGTGGGCTTTGGAGCACGGGAGGGACACGTGCTGGCTGGTGAGCACACGGGGTGGGGGCAGGGCGGGGGGGTGAGGCCCCCTGTTCTCTTCAAACTGCTGGCTCCATGGCTTCCTGCCCGGAGCTGTGGGGCCTGTGGACACGTGCTCGGGGGCGGGGCCCGGCGCTGCGCTTGGAGCCAGCTGAGCAACCTGCTCCCCAGGGCAAACAGGAGGAGGACACTGTGGTGGAGAAGCTGAACCTCTTCCTGGACCTGCTCCAGGCCTACAAGGTGAGGCTCAGCTGTGCCTGTGTGCTCGTTCGCACGTGGACATGTGTTCACGTATGTATGTGCACGTGTGCGTACACATGTCGGTGAGTGTGTGCATGTGTGTGTCTCTGTTCACACATATATGTATGTATGCCTGTGTGAGTGCCTACACGTGTATGTGTTTTTGTGTCTGAGGGCATGCATGTATGTTTGTATGTCTGTGTGCATGTACATGCCTCTGTGTGAGTGTGTTTATGTATATATCTCCATGTGAGCGTGTTTGCACGTGCACGAATGCACGTGTGTGCGCGTGCATGCATGTGAGTGCGTGCATGTGTGCCTCGAGGGGTGGCCGGCTCCGTGAGCAGGCGAGGGCTGGCCTGTGCAGAGGAGCTCGCCTGTCGGGGTGGAGGGCCCGGGTGCCGGCCTCAGCCCTGTGGGGCGGCCCTGCCTGTGGGGCTTCCTGATAGATTGTCTTTCTGTGACGGAGCCCTTGGTGCTGAGCTCGGAGCTGGTGCTGGGGGAATGTTCTGGAAAGGGCTCCTCCAGCGAGAGGGCTGGTGGCAGGTGGCCTTGAGGCCGCAGCCTGGTGCCCGAGAGGCTGGTTTTCCCCAGACTTCCGCTGGGAAGGGGCAGGGCCCTGGGAGAGGCCCCGGGCAGCGTGCCAGTCCAGCCCCGACGTCACCCCTGCGCTGGCCACGCGGTGTTTCCCGGGGTGTGGCTTGTGGCCCTCCGGGCCCACCCGCGCTGCTCTGTGCCAGGAGCTCCTTCAGTGCGAGAGTGAGCCGGTGTGAGCCGTTGGCAGAAGGAAGCCCGCACACAGGACGGCCACCGCACTGGCGGGCCGCGCCGCACGCCCTCCGTCCTCCCCGGGGGGCCTCCTGCGGGCAGCTGCTAGCGGGCGTCCTGCAGCGGCTGCAGCTCTCGCTCCCCCAGGACCTGTGTGAACGGCACGAGAAGGGCGTGCTGCACAAGCACCAGCGGGCCCTGCACAAGTACAGCCTCATGAAGCGGCAGATGAGCGCCGCCGTGCACAGCCACGAGCCCGAGTCCGTGGAGCAGCTGGAGTCGCGCATCATGGAGGTGCTCGGGCGCGGGGGCATTGTGTGTGGGGGGTTCGGTCCTGGGGGGCACTATGGAGGTGCTCTGGCATGGAGGCATTGGGGGGCGTGGTGGGGAGCATCATGGAGGTGCTCAGGCATGGAGGCATTGGGGGGCGTGGTGGGGAGCATCATGGAGGTGCTCTGGCATGGAGGCATTGGGGGGGCGTGGTGGGGAACATCATGGAGGTGCTCAGGCATGGAGGCATTGGGGGGGCATGGTGGGGAGCATCATGGAGGTGCTCTGGTGTGGAGGCATTGGGGGGCGTGGTGGGGAGCATCATGGAGGTGCTCAGGCATGGAGGCATTGGGGGGGCATGGTGGGGAGCATCATGGAGGTGCTCGGGTGCGGGGCCATGACGGGGGCATTGTGTGTGTGGGGTTCGGTCCTGGGGGGCACCGTGGAGGTGCTGTGCACAGGAATGGTGGGGGAGGCAGGAGGAGAGGCCTGGACCACCTCTGCTGGACCCAGAGCCACACTGGGGCTCTGTGGTGCTCTGGCACCTCTGACGCCGGGCCGGGCCGGACGGAGATGCAGGGGGGCGGCCGGGGAGGCGGCGTGGGTGGCCCCCGCTGGGCCGGAGCGAGGAGGCTCTCTGTCTGCAGCAGGAGAACGCCATCCAGACGATGGAGCTGCGGAACCACTTCTCGCTGTTCTGCCTGCACCAGGAGACGCAGCTGGTCCACGCCTACCTGCCGCTCACCTCCCACATCCTGGGGGCCTTTGTCAGCTCCCAGATCCAGGGCCACAAGGAGGTGGGCTCCCGCACGGCCGCTCGGCCCCTGACCCTGGAGCTCCTTCGGACGTTGGCGGGAGCCGGGGCTTCGACGTGGGCACATCTCCTGCCTCGTGGGCGGGGTGCTGCTGAGGCTGTCCTGACTCCAGGGGAGGGGCGAGGGGGAGTGGAGCAGGACACGGGAACAGCCCTGCCTCCTGGGGGACACCAGGAGCCATAAGTGCAGGTCCCAGACCTGAGGCGGGCGTGAAGGTGAGGAGGGGCACCTGTGGGGCATCCCAGCGCTCGGCCATCCCCAGGTGGGCCCCTGAGCCTGTGGGAGACGGGGTGCCCTGCGGCGTGGAGGCTGCGGCCACACCGGCCCTCGCTCCGTCCGCCTGCGGCCCTCTGCCCTCGGTGGCCTGGGTCCTTGCCTGATCGGGGCTGGAGAAGCTGAGGAGCTGGCTGCTGCAGTCCACAGCCCTGCTTCTCTCCTGGGTCCTTCCACGCCCCTTGTTAGCCCTGGGGCGCAGCCTCCTGGGCGGGTGCATCTGCCGGCCCCCCCAGCTCCTTGGCTCGGCAGGGTCTGAGGCTCAGGATTGCTGAGACCCTGACCCGCTCCCCGCCCGCACGGCGTGCTCAGGGCCTTGGTGGGCCGATACTTCCTGGGGTGCGGAGTTCCTACCCAGACGAGGGTGCTCGGGGCTGGGCCACGTGCAGCCACCTGGACTCGGCGTCCCTGCCTCCCCTGGGCGCTGCAGGCCCGGTGGGCAGGCCGCAGGCCCTTCCTCCCGCCTCATCACCTGTGTGGTCCCTGGAGGAGGCTGTGCCCGTGTCGGCTTAGAGAGCGCCGGAGAGGACACAGTGCTTCCTAACACCCCGTGACCAGCAGGCTGCGCCCTCAGCCCTGTGTGCAGGGGCCAGGGACTGGCCACCCGCACCTCTGGTTTCGGGCCACCCCTCGTGGGCTTTGTGGAGGAACGGGCGGCGACACGGAGTGGGGAGGGCAGCCCCGGGGCAGAGACACGCCCAGCGGTGGCATGTCCCCTCTCCGGCACCTGGGAAGAGCAGGGTGCTGGGCGGTGCCGCCGGCTGACCCTGTGCCCTCCCACAGATGAGTAAGGTGTGGAACGACCTGAAGCCCAAGCTGCACTGCCTGTTCTCGGGACCCGCCAGCGCCCTGACCCCGCCTCGGTCCCCGCGGGACGGCCTGTCTCCTCACTAGTGCCGAGGACCGCGCCCCCACTGAAACCTCTTTCCACGGTGTGTCCTGTTTAATTCTGTCCGCGTGGCGGCCGGGACCAGGTGGGAGCAGGGCCGGGACAGGCCTCAGGTCTGAGCATCCGCTGACGCTGAGGCACAAGGGGTCTGCTGAGGATCACGCCATGTGTCCCGGCCCCAGCACTGGGCCTTAGTCTGGGGGTGGAGAGTTCAGATGCCCTGGAGTGGTTTTCTCCCGGCACCAGAGGGCAGGCGGCAAGGATGTTCTCCCAGCAGATGGTGCCTGGGTGTGTGCAGGGACCCCGTGTGCAGTGACAGTGAGATGATGGGCTGCATTAGCTGAGCAGAGGGGAGGTGGTACCCACGGAGGGCAGGCCTGGCCCTGCAGCCGGGCGGGTGGCCGTGCGAGAGCCTTTGAGCTACAGCAGGAGCCAGAAGGGAAGTGGCACTGGGGCCCCTGGCGCAAACTGTTTCCTGGGACAAGCCCAGCGCGGGTCCCTGGTCTGGGGTTGGCCTGCAGGGCAGTGTCCTGGTCCCCCCTGCACAGGCCCACCCATACACTGACTGCAGTGCTGAGGCCGTGCTGTGCTGTCTGCTTGGTGCCGAAGCCGCCCTGTCCTTTTTGGGGGTTGATGCCGTTTTGGTGCTTGGGGAGGAGCGAGGAGGGAGGCGGGTGCGTTGTGGAGGCGCTGGACCAGGGTCTGTTGCTGTGGTTAACTCTTCAAACCACCTCACTGCTTTGGGGACAAAACCCTCCTCCCAGCCTCTCCTGCCCTCCCCCTCCCCCCTGCTCTCCCCTAGGGCCCAGGGGATGACGCCCCCCTCCCCCAGGGCCCAGGGGTGGAGTCCGGCAGCTCTGGGTGGGAGTGGTGCTTCGTGCCCGGTGTGTCTGAACAGCAGACGGGACCCCGCGGGGCAGGCACTGGAGGCGGCTCTGGCTGATCACAGCATCGGGGGGAGCCCGCCTTCGGGGCGCCTGCCTGACGCGGGTCTCTCGTCTGCCCTAGCCTCACGTGTGGACTGACCGGAGGGGAGGCTCCGAGGACCGCGGCGGGAGGGGCTGCCCACGCTGGACTGTCCACTCCCTCCCGCGCCAGCTCCCCCAGCAGCAACCAGACACTCGGCACCACTGGGCCCAGACGCGGCGCTGGAGGCGTGCGGACTTGCTGACGCTGAGGCGGTCTGCAGCGGCCCCTCCGTCAGCCGGCGAGGGAAGCACTTTACGGCCCGAATCGGTGACTGCCACAGCCAGCTGGAGTGTTTACAGACGGCCCACATTCCCAGGTTTTCGCCACGAAACGAACGTGGAAACTTATTAAACGTATTTATACAAGTTGGTGAGGCTGTGAGTGTGTGTGAGCGGGTGGCGCCCCTCCTCTCCGGTGAAGGGAGGGCGACCAGCCTGGGGAAGGTTAGACCAGGGCTTTAGCCTTGGCCCTGGCACAAAGGAAGGGTCTCAGTGTGGTGAGGACCTGCCGCCTGTCCACCTCCATGCCCCCAGCGAGCCTGCAGCACCAAGCCCATTAGCACCCCCCGCAGGCCCCACGGTCCCAGCGCGGTCCCGGTCCCGTCTGCCCGCCGGCCGAGTCTCCCGCTGTCTGCCCACAGGGGCAGTCATGGCCAAGCATGCCTGCTGGCGTCCCGACGCCTGCTGAGAACTGAGGGTGAAAGACATTTATTTTCCTTCCCATCCACTCACGTTCCACACACACAGCCCGAGCCTGGTTCTGCTTGGTGCCCGCAGCTGCTCTGTCCTTTTTGGTGCTTGGGCTGCAGGAGCGGGGGCCGTGACGGGCGGGCGGGGCCGTGGTCCTGCCTACACCGTGTCCACTTCGTGCAGCCTGTGGTCCAGGATGGTGTCGTGGCCCTGGAACTTGAAGTAGCCCTGGAACTTCCTCTTCTGGAGCAGGAGGGGGAACCAGTAGCTGTCGTCCGGCCACATGTGGGCGAAGGGGATCTGGTCCAGGGGGAACCACTGAGGCCGCATCTCTGTGGGCGAGAGCACAGGTTCCAGCCGATGGCACCGCCCCCGGGGAGCCTGCCGAGCAGTGCCGGCAGGAGCACCTCAGCGGATCCTGGGCTGTGGTGTCGGAGTGGGATGGGATCGGTGGATCCAGGGCTGTGGTGTCGGAGTGGGATGGGATCGGTGGATCCAGGGCTGTGGTGTCGGAGTGGGGAGGGGTCGGTGGATCCAGGGCTGTGGTGTCGGAGTGGGATGGGATCGGTGGATCCAGGGCTGTGGTGTCGGAGTGGGATGGGATCGGTGGATCCAGGGCTGTGGTGTCGGAGTGGGATGGGATCGGTGGATCCTGGGCTGTGGTGTCGGAGTGGGGAGGGGTTGGTGGATCCAGGGCTGTGGTGTCGGAGTGGGATGGGATCGGTGGATCCAGGGCTGTGGTGTCCGAGTGGGATGGGATCGGTGGATCCAGGGCTGTGGTGTTGGAGTGGGGAGGGGTTGGTGGATCCTGGGCTGTGGTGTCGGAGTGGGAAGGGGTCGGTGGATCCAGGGCTGTGGTGTCGGAGTGGGATGGGATCGGTGGATCCAGGGCTGTGGTGTCGGAGTGGGATGGGATCGGTGGATCCAGGGCTGTGGTGTCGGAGTGGGATGGGATCGGTGGATCCAGGGCTGTGGTGTCGGAGTGGGGAGGGGTCGGTGGATCCAGGGCTGTGGTGTCGGAGTGGGAAGGGGTCGGTGGATCCAGGGCTGTGGTGTCGGAGTGGGATGGGATCGGTGGATCCAGGGCTGTGGTGTCGGAGTGGGATGGGATCGGTGGATCCAGGGCTGTGGTGTCGGAGTGGGGAGGGGTTGGTGGATCCTGGGCTGCGGTGTCGGAGTGGGATGGGGTCGGTGGATCCAGGGCTGTGGTGTCGGAGTGGGAAGGGGTCGGGTGCTGGTGCTGGGCCCTGCCTCCCGGCACCGTGGACTCACCCTCGCTCTCCGTGGGCGTCCCCTGCACGCTGTCTGTGCAGAAGATGTGCACGTCCATCAGCTCGGGCTCCCCCACGAACTCGAACGTGATGTGGCCCACCTTGTGCAGCGCATCCACGGTGACCCCGCACTCCTCCTGCAGCTCCCTGCGGGCGGCGGAAGGCAACAGCTGGAGCCCCCGCCGGCCCTCAGGGCCCCAGCACGGTGCCAGGGGACCGAGAGGGACAGTTTTTTTAAAAATTAACTTTCTAAGTATTTAAATTCCTTTAAAAAATACATATTTTTATTAATTTCAGAGATGGAGAAAAACATCGATGAGAGAGGAGCACTAATCAGCTGCCTCCTGCACGCCCCACACTGGGGATCAAGCTCACAACCCAGGCATGTGCCCTTGACCAGAATCAAACTTGGGACCCTTACGTCTACAGGCAGATGCTCTACCCACTGAACCACACCAGCTAGGGCCAGAGTATTTGTGCACGGAAGGGAAATGAGTCCTCTGGACCAGAGGGGTGGGGGACTCACTGTGGACCTTGTGGCTGCCCAGGCCTGCAGGGGTCAGCTGCTTGGCTGTCTCCCGGGAGGAGGATGGTAGAGCTGGGAACCCCCACCCGTCCGCAGCTCCTGCTCCCCAGGGGCTGCAGGCCATGGGAACCTGGGGCCTGAACCGAAGCCTTTCCGCCAGAAGAATCATCTGTCCTCCCTCCCTCCCCGTAAGAGCACGGTCCCTCTGCAGGCAGGGCCTGGCTGTTTGAACTCGGGTCCAGCCGGGACCTTCACCCTCTGGGCGTGGAGCTTTGGGCCTGTCCTCAGGGCTGCTGCTCAGCGGGGTGAGGTCAGCACAGTCAGGATGGCCCTGCGTTACTGTTCCCAGCTGCTGACTGCAGACACCCTGGCCACAGCCCTGGACGCCTCACCCGGAGCCTTGCAGCCCGTCCGCGTTTCCCTCTCAACAGCCCGCAAGGAGCTGCGATGCATCATCACCCTCTGTACCCTCGTTACACACAGCAGAGCGGCTCGGCTCGACTTCAGCCGGCTCCCCAGCTGCTGTTAGCGGAGACACAGAGCTTCCTCCTGCTCATCACCAAGCCCTGGCCCCAGCCCGAGCCCTGAGCGCGGGCACCCTGCACGCTGATCCCCCGACAAACTGGTCCTCGCCGGGGCCTCCGGCTGCCGCTGCAACCCCGAAACGTGGAGTCTGAACCTCCCTTTAGAGCAGCAGTTCTCGACCTGTGGGTCGCGACCCCTTTGGGGGTCGAACGACCCTTTCCCAGGGGTCGCCTGAGACCATCGGAAAACACAGATATTTACGTTACAATTCATAAGAGGAGCAAAATGACAGTTAAGAAGTGGCAACAGAAATAACTTTATGGTTGGGGTCACCACCACATGAGGAGCTGTATTAAAGGATTGCAGCATTAGGACGGTTGAGAGCCACTGGTTTAGAAATCTCCCTCCCCACTGCCGTGTACTTGTTTCTGTAAAAACTTTCTGGGTACGTCTGCCCCTTGTGGTTGCAGGTAGAAGTTCCTGTAGCTTCACTCTCCAGGCGGCCTCAGCAGCGGGACCCCATAGTTCCTTTCTGGGCCTGTGCCCAGGAAAACACGTGGTTCCTAACGACACACGTTGGGTTAAATGGCCTCATCTCCTCGGAACACCCTGACCTTCTGGAGCCTCCTTCAGCTGTGACTGACTTGCCGAGAGGTCAGAGGAAATGAAGCACCTCCTCCCGGCAGCAGGCTGGCGGCTCTGGCCTGTGAAACCTTCACCTCCCGCTTCACCATTCTGACTGACTAACCGGCGGACCTTCCCGAGTCCAGGGCAGAGAGAAACCCTTGCATCCCCCTCCTGGCAGAGCTACGGGTGGCCCTACAGCGGGGACAGCGAACAAAACCCCAGGGAGGGATCAGCCCAGCTCCCAGAACGGCCACAGGCACAACAGCTTCCCGAGTCCCCAAAACCACCCGCCCCGGGAGCAGTGCTTAGCGTGCAGCAGCCTCAAACCCTTTACGTGCAGCCCGAGTCCTCACAGCCATCCTGAGGCGGAGGTACTGTTAACGTAAAAAAACCGTATTAAATGTGTGTATTGATATTAGAGAGAGGAGGGGGGGAGAGAACGCCATGGATGTGAGAAACATCAATTGGTTACCTCCAGTACCACCCTGCGGGACTGAACCTGCCACCTGGGCGTGTGCCAGGGCCTGGAACTGCAACCTTCCCGTGCGCGGGACGACACTCGGCCACCTGAGCCGCCTGGCCAGGGCCGGCGGTTACTCCCACTGAGGCTCCAGGTCACGGCTCAGAGGGGCGAAGCCAGGCGTCTGGCTCTACAGCCGGAGCCCGCATCCCCAGCGAGCCGGGCCTGTGCTCAGGCCCAGCCTCCCTCACCTCTTGGCCCCATCCTCGATGGTCTCGCCCTCGTGCACTTTGCCCCCGAAGCCGTTCCAGCGGCCGGCTCCGAAGCCCCGCTTCTTCATGCCCAGCAGCACGCGCTGAGGCTGCAGCACCAGCACCAAGGTGTAGAGCCGGGAGGCGCCCATGGTCCCTGGGCGCTAGGAGGAAGCAAGGCTGGGCTGGCGTGACTTGGCGCTGACGGGCGTATGGGGCAGGTGGGCTGCGGGGCGGGGCGAGGGCAGGTGGGGCAGAAGTGCACTCTGGAAGGCAGGGATGGGAGCCTGCTGGAGAACTCCCAGCTCTGCAGGGCCTGTCAATGAGCACACGGTCTGGGCCAGCACGGGCCTGGCCTTCAGAGCCTGAGGCAGCTGGAGCAGAGAGAGACACACCTTCCCTCCCCCGCCCCAAGCCCCACCTGAGCCCAGGCCCCGCCCCAGCCCCATCTGACCCAAGCCCCGCCCAGAGCCCAGGCCCCGCCCCAGCCCAGGCCCCGCCCCCAGCTGACCCAGGCCCCGCCCAGAGCCCAGGCCCCGCCCCCAGCTCAGGCCCCAGAGCCCAGGCCCACCGCAGCCCAGGCTCCTCCGCACAAGGAGGGCACATCCAACCGGTGGGGCTCAGCGGTTGAGCATCGACCTGGGAACCGGGAGGCCACAGTTCAATTCCCAGTCGGGGCACAGGCCTGGGTTGCGGGCTCTATCCCGTGGGGAGCGTGCAGGAGGCAGCTGATCGATGATTCTCTCTCATCGATGTTTCTAACTCTCCATCCCTCTCTCTTCCTCTCTGTAAAAAATCAATTAAAAAAATATATATAAAATTCCCGGTGGGGGCACAGGCCCGGGTTGCGGGCTCGATCCCGTGGGGGGCGTGCAGGAGGCAGCCGATCCACGGTTCTCTCACTGATGTTGCTCCCTCTCCCTTCCTTCCTCTCTGAGATAAAAAACACACTGAAAGGCGGGAGGCAAGCACCAGCCTGCCCCGTGGCTGCGGCTCCCGCCCCCGGTGCACGGCCGCTCCCCCGGCCCGCTCCGCGCTCACCTGCCCGGGCTCCGCGCGCGTTCAAGCCCGCGCGCTGCTTCCGGGGGCGTGGCCTCCGGCGGAAGCGGAGCCGGCACTTCCGGCGGCGGGAGCGGCCGGCGCCCATGGCGGGGTGAGCGCGGGGCGCGGGGCGCGGGGCGCGGGGCGCGGGGCGGCGGGGCGGCGGGGCGGCGGGGCGGCGGGGCGGCGGGGCGGCGGGGCGGCGGGGCGGCGGGGCGGCGGGGCGGCGGGGCGGCGGGGCGGCGGGGCGGCGGGGCGGCGGGGCGGCGGGCGGCCGGGCATCTATGCGGCGCCTGCTGCGTGCGCGCAGGAGGCGGGAGCGGCCGGGCCGCACGGGGTCCTCGTCCGGACGGACCCGCCTCCGTCTCCGTCCTGTCCGCCCGGCGATGGGGCTGCGGACTCCACGGCGGGCAGAGAGCGGGGCAGGGTTTTAGGAGGAGGAGGGACAGGTGGGGGGCCCGCAGGTGGGGGGGCCCGCAGGTGAGGGGGGGGCAGGTGAGGGGGCCCGCAGGTGAGGGGGGGCAGGTGAGGGGGGCCCCGCAGGTGAGGGGGCCCGCAGGTGGGGGACCCGCAGGTGAGGGGGGGCAGGTGAGGGGGCCCGCAGGTGAGGGGGGGCAGGTGAGGGGGCCCGCAGGTGGGGGGCCCGCAGGTGAGGGGGGGCTGGTGAGGGGGGCCCCGCAGGTGGGGGGCCCGCAGGTGAGGGGGGCAGGTGAGGGGGGCCCCGCAGGTGAGGGGGGGCCCCCGCAGGTGAGGGGGCCCACAGGTGGGGGGCCCCGCAGGTGAGGGGAGCCCCCGCAAGTGAGGGAGGCCCCGCAGGTGAGGGGGCCCCGCAGGTGAGGGGGGCCCCCGCAGGTGGGGGGGGCAGGTGAGGGGGGCTCCGTAGGTGAGGGGGGCCCGCAGGTGGGGGCCCGCAGGTGGGGGAACCCTGCAGGTGGGGGGGCCCCGCACAGGTGAGGGGGCCCCGCAGGTGAGGGGGGCCCCGCAGGCGGAGGTGACACTGGTGGATAGCGCCCGGGCCCCCAGGCTGTGGCACAGGCTTCTGAGAAAGGAAAGGCTGCTGTGCCGCATGCGGGATGTGGATGGGGTTGGAGGAGGTCAGCGGTCAGCTGCCCAAATCTGGGGCATGTGTTTGCGTAACTCCAGTCTCTGCTCCTCCTGGGATTGGTTCTGGCCCCAGGACCGCTCTGCCCCCTTCCCTGAGGCTTTGGCACTTGAAGGCGTGGTTCCTGTGATTCCCGTGTTACTGTCTTCAGATCCTGCCCACTGCCATGGTGTTCAACAGGCTTGGCCTGGAGCCTGGGGATAATGATAGCTTTTTTTTTTTCATCTTTAGAAAAATAATAATAAAAGTGTAGAACCTATTTTGTAGGTCTGAGAGTTAAATGAGAGTCTTGGCAGTTGCTAAACTGTTGAAACCTAACTTTTCCTAAGAGCCTGGGAGCGTGTCCTTAAACTGCTCCACCAGTTGATTCAGTTTTGTTAAGAAATGTGGCTGGTCAGGCATTGCTCAATGGTTGAGCTTTGACCTATGAACCAGGAGGTCACCTTTTGGTTCCGGTGATCCCCAGTAGGGGGCGCACAGGAGGCAGCCGATGGATGATTCTCATCATCAATGTTTCTATCCCTCCCTCCCTCTCTGAAGTCAATAAAGATACATTAAAGAAAAGAAAGAAAGAAAGAAAGAAAGACAGACAGACAGACAGAAAGAAAGAAAGAAAGAAAGGTGAAGGCCAGGATCTCTAGCCTCCGAACTTGCTTACAGGGAACCGAGTAGCCAGGCAAAGACTAACTCCTGGGGCTCTCCCCGTCTCGCCATCTGGCGAACAGCTGTCCCTCTGTGCCTGGGTGTCCTAACTCTCAGGGACACCAGTCCTATGGGATTTGGGCTCACCCATATGTCTTCACTTTCACTTAATTCCCTCTTTAAAGACCAATCCACTTTGAGGTGTTCGGGGTGGGGCCTGCAAATAAATTGTGGGCCCCTAAGCGATGTGGCTCAGTGGATAGAGTGTTGGCCTGCGGACTGAAAGGTCCCAGGTTTGATTCTGGTCAAGGGCATGTACTTTGGTTGCAGGCACATCCCCAGTAGGGGGCGTGCAGGAGACAGCTGATCAATGTTTCTAACTCTATCCCTTTCCTTTCCTCTCTGTAAAAAAATCAATAAAATATATTAAAAAAATAAGTTGTGTGAGTCACAGGTCAGCACATAATCCTGCTTTCTGACTGGCTGTTAGATTTCCTCCCGTCTTGGGCCCTGGGCTGCTCCCTGACTGCATGGCTTGCACCGGGGCCCACCGGGCTCGGGACTAGTGGACGCGGATGCCAACCGCTGCCCCTTTCCCTCGCCAGGTGCTGCAGGCTGGGGCGTGCGTCCCTGCCGCGCCGCGGGCTCCACACGGCGGCCAGGCTCTGCAAGGCCCGCTCGGGCGCCGAGCACCAGTGGCTGACGCGCCACCTGAAGGACCCGTTCGTGAAGGCGGCGAGGGTGGAGAGCTACCGCTGCCGCAGCGCCTTCAAGCTGCTGGAGCTGGACGCGAGGCACCGCATCCTGCGGCCCGGCCTCCGGGTCTTAGACTGCGGGGCGGCCCCCGGCGCCTGGAGCCAGGTGGCGGTGCGGAGAGTCAACGCCGCGGGCGCAGGTGGGTCTCACGGGGCCTCGACCCAGCGGTCCAGCGCTTCTGAAGGTGGTGGTTTGGTAATAATAACGGTAAAGATGGGACACGGACATTTTCAGAAGGAACGGTACAGTGACGATTAAAATCCCCTCGGATCACACCGTGCTTGTATGTGGGTGTGCTCAGCGCTAGGATTTTTTTGCACACCAACGCTGTTCTCACGTTCTTATCAGAACGCGCTTCCATCGTGGCCCTCTGTTGCCTAGGAGCCGAAACAGCCTTTTTGTGCTGAACGGCAGTGCCGTCTCTGACTGCATCCGGGTTCTGGGTCCTGGCTGCCGAAGCTCTGTCTCTCCCCGGGGTCTCTCTGGGGCTGCTCCGTTCGCACAGCTGGGGCTCTGACTCCAACTCAGGCCCAACCCGAGGGCGCAGCTTTTATCTTTGATATTTTAGGGTTTTGTCAAAGGTGGTTTTTTTTTTTTTTTAAATCCTCACCCAAAGTTATACTTATTGAATTTAGAGAGAAGAGATTGGGGGGCGAGGGAGAGACATCGATATGAGAGAGAACATTGATTGGCTGCCTTCTGCCCATACCCCAACCAAGGTTCGAACCCACAACATGGGTATGTACCCTGGCTGGGAATCGAACCTGCAGCCTTTCCATGTATGAGATGGCACTCCAACCAGCTGAGCCATACCAGCCTGGCTGTCAAGGTGTGTGTGTGTGTGTGTGTGTGTGTGTGTGTGTTTTTCTCTTTTTTTAATATGAAAAAGGTTCCCCTGATTCATAAACAGGTAAACCAACACCCATACGACGTAGAAAGCAACGTCATCCTTTTGAATAGGTGCTGGGGCCGTCCCTGCGCCTAGGGCATCGGGTCTGCGCTGCAGTGAGCCTTCTTGCCACCTGTATCCCTGCCGTGGCGCCTGAGGGCCCTGCGCGCGCTGGCGTTCTATGACAGTTGTGACAGTTCACAAGCATCTCTCCCAGGCACCTTAGAGGGGGGACATTTGTGCCCATTTTCTGCACGAGAAAACTGAGGTAGAGGGGTGGAGGGACCGGCAAAAGGTATAGCATTGGGCCTGCCTGCTTCATTCAGCAGCCCCACCACATGGCTGGCGGGGGCGCCGTAGGGCTTGAGAATCGGCATAAAAACATTGTTTTTCGTTCCAATGCTTGTTGACCGAGGGACTGAACTTGGGTCAGAAACTTCCCTGGCACCACTGCAGTGGTTCCTGCCTGACAGGCTGTGGAGGAGCAGGGGGGCCACGGTGAACTTGGGGAGAAGTGGAAGCAGAGTGTGGGGGGAAACAGCTTGCTTGTCTTTCTCCCAGAAGTTGCCCAGCTGCACCCCAAGCAATTTGCCCCGAGCGGACCCTTCCTGAGGTTGTAACGAAGGGGATGCTCCAGGAGAGCACCGTGCAGGGGCAGCCGCCTCAGGAAACCGATCTGGGCAGGGTACCGATTTTGGACCTTATTTTAGATCCGCCTTTCCCCCATAGCTCAGCTTTTTTTTTAATTTATTTTATTTTATTTTATTTTTTTTTATATTTTATTGATTTTTATACAGAGAGGAAGGGAGAGAGATAGAGAGTTAGAAACATCGATGAGAGAGAGTCACCGATCAGCTGCCTCTTGCACCCTCTACTGGGGATATGCCCGCAACCAAGGCACATGCTCTTGACCGGAATCAAACCTGGGGCCCTTCAGTCCCCAAGCCAACGCTCTATCCATTGAGCCAAACAGGTCCTGGATCAGCTTTTTCTTAATGGAAAGAATTTAGATGAAGCTACAGACAGACTTGTTGGTTTAACCCAGAGGCACTTTACATGCTAGTGCCGTGGTCGGCAAACCGAGGCTCATGAGCCACACGCGGCTCTTTGGCCCCTTGAGTGTGGCTCTTCCACAAAACACCACGGATTGGGTGAGTCTATTTTGAAGAAGTGGCCTTAGAAGTTTAAAAAATTTGGCTCTCCAGTTGAAACCAGTTTGGCTCAGTGGATAGAGTGTCGGCCTGCAGACTGAAAGGTCCCAGGTTCGATTCCGGACAAGGGCATGTACTTTGGTTGCGGGTACATCCTCAGTAGGGGGTGTGCAAGAGGCAGCTGATCGATGATTCTCTCTCATCGATGTTTCTAGCTCTCTATCCCTCTCTCTTCCTCTCTGTAAAGAGTCAATAGAATATATTTAAAAAAAAATAAAAAATTTGGCTCTCCAGAGAAATTTCAATCGTATTGTTGATATTTGACTCTGTTAACTAATGAGTTTGCCAACCACTGTGCTAGTGTAACAGTTTCTGTTTCAGCTCATCAGGTGAGCAGTCTCAGGGGTGAAATGAAATGAAATGAAATCAGCTGGAGACAAGTCTGGGGCGTGGCCCCCGGTCTGCCTTTGACTCTGGGACCGCACTGAGCCTCTCAGGCCTCCGCTTTCTCCGATGTAGGGTGAAGCACCACCACTCCCCACGTGTGTCCTTGCAGGATGTAGAGGGGGGTGAAGGCCCGTGTCCGCCTGCCTGCACATTAGCTCTTCCTCGGTCCTGTTTCATGGCTGCGGCATGTACCTGGGGGAGAGTCAGGGTGTAATAACTCCCCCCATTTCTTCCTTAGATCCCAGCAGTCCCGTGGGCTTTGTGCTCGGGCTCGATCTTCTTCACATCGCACCCCTGGGAGGGGCGACCTTCTTGTGCCCCGCGGACGTGGCTGACCCCGGGACCTGGCAGAGAGTCCGAGAACTGCTTCCTGGTGGGAGAGCTGACGTGATTCTGAGTGACATGGCCCCCAACGCCACCGGGATCCGGGGCCTGGACCACGACCAGCTCATTGGCCTGTGCCTGTCGCTCCTGGACGTGGCTCCCCACGTGCTGTCCCCCGGGGGGACCTTCCTCTGTAAGACCTGGGCTGGAAGTCTAAGCCACCGGTTACAGAAGCGACTGACCGAGGAATTCCAGGGCACGAGGACCCTGAAGCCGGAAGCCAGCAGGAAGGAGTCCTCGGAGGTGTACCTCCTGGCCACACAGTACCGCCGCGCCGCGGGGCCTGGGCGGGCCTGAGCGTCCTCCGTTCCCGGCCCTGCTCGCCGCACCGTCGCTGCATGTGGCTGGGAGGCCCTGGCTTGACCTGGGAGGCAGCAGGCAGGACAGTGGGGACCCCTTCTTACATCGAGAAGAGGACGAGCTGTATTCAGTGGCCATGATAGCAAACGGTCTGTCCGTGATTTGGGAAGAGGAAGTTATCGGGAGGGACAGGATGAAAGGACGAGCAGACGCGCTGGGGAGGGAAGGAGACACTGAGGCAGCGCCCGAGAGGCAGGCCCCTGCCTCGCGCTCACCTTACAGGCGAGGGAGCTACCGAGAAACAGGCTCCACCTTTGCTCCGGGAACAGCAAGCATGTTTCCAGTTGAGATTTTGGCTCTACAGCATAATGAGAAAAATCTGAAATTTCAGTCTGGGGATTAATTTCCATGTCTGGTGAATGATCTACAGATACATCCACTCTTCAAGCAGCGAGAATTCCCGGAGCAATTAGGGGAGACATTTCGTATGAATTTATGCGTGGGGTGGGTGTGCTCTGGGCTTTGCTGGAAATACATTGCTGTAATATCCCGGGCTCCCTAGACAGTAAAGGTAATTACCAAAGCAAGCAACAGTGTGTGTTATTTCCCTTTCTCTTCCAGGGAATTGCTGCCGCTTTATAAACAGATAGGTTGTATTACCTGAAGGGACTTCCATGCTTTTAAGTTTGCCTATAAGAAAAAAAAAAAATATATATATATATATATATATATATATCTATATATCTATATATAGATATATATTTTAAAGAAATATATATTTTATTGATTTTTTACAGAGAGGGAGAGGGATAGGAATCTAGAAACATCAATGAGAATCATCTATCAGCTGCCTCCTGCACACCCCCCACCGGGGATGTGCCTGCAACCAATGTACATGCCCTGCCTGGAATCGAACCTGGGACCTTTCAGTTCGTAGACTGACGCTCTATCCACTGAGGCAAACCGGTTTCGGCTATATATATATTTTTATTGATTTCAGAGAGGAAGGGGAGGGAGAGGGAGAAACATCCATGAGGATAATCATGGATCGGCTGCCTCCTGCACGCCCCACACGGGGGATGGAGCCCACGGCTCGGGCCTGTGCCCTTGACTGGAATCCACACCAGCCGGGGTTTAAGTTTGCTTTTGAAAACCGGTTACTGGTTCTTCAAAGCCATTCCTGGAGGTGCTCGCCCCCCAGTTTGCTGACTGCGGAGAGATGATTGGGTCCCGGGGGTCTCACGGGGTCCTTGGCGGAGCCCAGCTGCGGGAGGGGAGCCTCGGGCTGGGGTTAGGTTTTCCCCCATTTCCGGTGGGGGGTCGGCTGTTAGGTCCGGGGCCCCGCCCCGCTAGTTCCATCCGCGCTCCCCCCCCTCCCCGGTCCGGTCACGTCGGGGTCAGGTTTTCACCCTCTGGGAGAGGGGAACAGCCCACCCCGCGCCCTCAGCGCTGGGAGAGGAGCCCGCTCCCGGCAGACCGGGCCGTCACTCCCGGCGGGGCCCCTCCGACGCTCCCAGGGCGCGGGGAGGACGACCCGGCGGCCCGGCACCCCCTTTCCCGGGGCCGCGCGGGAGCGGGGGGAGCGGCGGCCGCGGGGGAGCGGGAGCGGGGGGAGCGGCGGCCCCGGGGGAGCGGGGGGAGCGGGCGCAGCCGCTCGCGGAGCCGGGACCTGCCGCCGCTCACCCGGCTGCTGTCGGCCAGTCTCGCCGGATCTCGCGAGAGCGCAGCCGCAGATCTCGCGAGAGCGCAGGCGCAGAGGAGGGAGATCTGAGCGGCGACTGCGAGCCGGCCGGGCAGTGAGGTGGGTGCGGGCCGGGGCCGGGGGCCGGGGGCCGGGCCGGGGCCGTGAGGGGCGGCCTGGGGTCGGGGGAGGCCCGGGGTCGGCGCCGGGGCAGGGCTGTCCGCTGAGGCCGAGGCTGGGCGCCGCCCCTCCCGCCGCGGCTCTGACCCGGCGACCCCCGGCGCCTGCTCCCGGCCCTGTCCTTCCGGCCCTGATCCCCTCCTCAGTCCCCCCTCTGTCCCCCCACCTCTGTCCTCCTCAGTCCTCCCTCTGTCCCCCTCCTCAGTCCCTCTCTGTCCCCCCTTCTCTGTCCCCCTCCTCATTCCCAGCACCCCCTCCTCTGTCCCCCTCCTCAGTCCCCCCTCTGTCCCCCCTCCTCTGTCCCCCCCTGTCCCCCCTTCTCTGTCCCCCTCCTCATTCCCTCTCTGTCCCCCGTTCTCTGTCCCCCTCCTCATTCCCAGCACCTCCCCCCCACCTATGTCCCCTCCTCAGTCCTGTCCACCCTTACTCTGTCCCCCCTCCTCATGCAGAGCACCCCACCTCTGTCCTCCTCCGTCCCCCAACCCCTCATAGTTCCCCCCCTCTGTCCCCCCACCTCTGTCCTCCTCAGTCCCCCCTCTGTCCCCCCACCTCTGTCCTCCTCAGCCCTCCTCTGTCCCCCTCCTCAGTCCCTCTCTGTCCCCCCTTCTCTGTCCCCCTCCTCATTCCCAGCACCCCCACCTCTGTCCTCCTCCTCAGTCCCCCCTCTGTCCCCCCTTCTCTGTCCCCCTCCTCATTCCCAGCACCCCCACCTCTGTCCCCCTCCTCAGTCCCCCCTCTGTCCCCCTCCTCATTCCCTCTCTGTCCCCCCTTCTCTGTCCCCCTCCTCATTCCCTCTCTGTCCCCCCTTCTCTGTCCCCCTCCTCATTCCCAGCACCCCCACCTCTGTCCCCCTCCTCAGTCCCTGTCCACCCTTCTCTGTCCCCCTCCTCATTCCCAGCACCCCCACCTCTGTCCTCCTCAGTCCCCGCACCCCCTCATTAGTCCCCCCTCTGTCCCCTCTTCTCTGTCCCCCTCCTCAGTCCCCCCTCTGTCCCCTTCCTCATTCCCTCTCTGTCCCCCGTTCTCTGTCCCCCTTCCCATTCCCAGCACCCCCACCTCTGTCCTCTTCAGTCCCCGCACCCCCTCCTCAGTCCCCCCTCTGTCCCCCTCCTCATTCCCAGCACCCCCTCCTCTGTCCCCCTCTGTCCCCCTCATTCCCAGCACCCCCACCTCTGCTCCTGCACCCCCTCCTCAGTCCCTGTACCCCTCTTCTGTCCCCCCTCTGTCCCCCTCCTTATTCCCAGCACCCCCTCCTCTGTCCCCCTCCTCAGTCCCCCTCTGTCCTCCTCCTCAGTCCGCACCCCCTCCTCAGTCCCCCTCAGTCCCCCCTCTGTCCCCGCACCCCTCCTCAGTCCCTCCTTCTCTATCCCCCTCCTCTGTCCTCCTCCTCTGTCCCCGCACCCCTCCTCTGTCCCCCCTTCTCTATCCCCCTCCTCAGTCCCTGCACCCCCTCTCAGTCCCCCCTCTGTCAGTCCCCCCTCTGTCCTCCTCCTTAGTCCATGCACCCCCTCCTCAGTCCTCCTCAGTCCCCGCACCCCCTCTGCAGTCCCCCCTCTGTCCCCCTCCTCGGTCCCCTCTCTGTCCCCCCTTCTCTGTCCCCCTCCTCAGTCCCCGCACCCCCTTCTCTGTCCCTCTCCTCCATTCGGCTCCCCTCTCCTCTCTACCTGCTTCCCCCTTCTTTGTCCCCAGTGCCCCCTGCAGCCGGGTCTCTGCCGGTCACTGCCCGGTCCCTGCTGTTCCCCTGAGCCGGGTAGTTAAGCCCCAGCTGCCCTCCGCGCCCCTGCAGGCCCCCCCGTCACCCCCGGGCATCTTCGGGGAGAAGGAGCACTGGATGTGGCCATTGTCCTGGAGGCTGAGGCCCAGGCGGCCATGGGCCCTAGGGCTGAGGGCTGCACCTCCTGGGTGGACGGGGGAGGGGAGGGGGGGAGGAGTGGGTGCCTCTGTGCACCCCTGGAGCGATGGCAGAGCCCGGCCCAGCGGCACCTGCTGGGAGCCAGCGTTTCACACCTGGTGTGAGTGCACAGGTTTCACAGCTGGTGTGAGTGCACAGATTTCACACCTGGTGTGAGTGTACATACAGCATTTCACACCTGGTGTGAGAACACAGGGTTCATACCTGGTGTGAGTGCACGTACAGCGTTTCACACCTGGTGTGAGTGCACAGGGTTCACACCTGGTGTGAGCGCACAGGTTTCACACCTGGTGTGAGTGTACATACAGTGTTTCACACCTGGTGTGAGTGTACATACAGTGTTTCACACCTGGTGTGAGTACACAGGGTTCATACCTGGTGTGAGTGCACGTACAGCGTTTCACACCTGGTGTGAGTGCACATACAGCGTTTCACACCTGGTGAGAGTGCACAGGCAGCAGCAAAAGCCTGCGGCGGGCTGGCGGGACGGGGGAGGCAGTGTGCCAGGTGGCGGGCGTCCTGCGGTCTCGTTAGGTCCAGGAGTGGTCCTTCTGCCCAGGACCAGAGTGGCCGCTGGAGCAGGGAGTGTGGACGCCAGCCCAGGGCTCCGTTGTCCGCAGTTCATCCAGTGCTGGGGCTGCTGGGACACTGGGTGTCTGGATAAAGAGGACGGAGTTGGGCTGCGGCCTTGTCGGTGCCGTGTGGAGGGCCTCGTCCAGGCAGGTGACGACGTGTGCGTTCTTTCCATCCTAGTGCGTCACATGCTTCAGGTCTCACGGGGGCGGCGTCTTGCGGGAGGATATAGTGCCTAAGTTTCTCATGGATGAAGGAGCAGCCTGGTCTAATCCAGCAAATGGAAGGATTAGCCCTGCTGCCGCCCGCCACGCCGGCCTGTATCTGCAGGCTCCGGGCAGGGGGAGCCCAGGCCCGTTTTCCTCGCACAGTCAGACCGAGAGGCGGAGAGGACAGGCCGGGGCAGGGGTCGGGGGATGGCGGCTGGGAAGACAGGCTCCGACATTCCGAATCAAAGTAAGACCTGTCACTTCTTGGCTTTTTTGTTTGTTTTGGGAGTAGGAGGGGGGTGTTTTTCATCTAATTCTTAGGGGAAGCCTGAGGAGCCAGCTTTTCTAAGGGGAGAAAGTTCTCGCCTGTGCAGTCACACTTCTGGCTGTTAACGGCCCCTTCGCTCCCTGGCTCGTGGGCTGCCGCCGGCTGGTGTGAGGCCCGAACAAGCCGAGGTCTGGGGATGCGAGTGCTTGGCCGCTGCTTGTCCTCGGCCTCCGTGTGTGAGCACGGGGCGCAGGCCAGGCAGGCCCAGGCGCAGTCCCGTTGCCACTTCCCGAGAGGCCTCACAGCGGTTCCGAGCAGC